CGGCCCTGCTTCTGCCCAGGTGTGAGGCTCCACCTGCCCCGACCCAGAGCACAAGCGCTGGAGTTGTGGGGAGTCCAGTCCTATCTTTCAATGGAGAAACAGAGGCCTAGGGAGGGGAAGAGACATTGAGGCAGTGAGATGGTCACCAAAGCTGGCATGGGGTCCTAAGCCTAGGCCAAGTTCTCTCAGAAACCCAGAGTGCGGCAGGGTCAGCACTCGAGGTTTTCGTGGGTGGAATGGCTCAAAGTCTGCCTTTAGCTTTTATTTCGCCCAGCGTGCTTCCTGTTGGGCATCTGACAGAGTGATTACAAAGGCACTGTGAGCATCAAGACCTTAGGAGTCTTGGCTTAGAGATGAGTTCCACAGTCCCAGGCCTCTTCTAGGGGCTCACTTCCCTCAAACAAGCTGGCACCAATGTGCCTCAGGACACACAGGGCAGCAGGTGCCAGAGCAGAGCTGGGATTCCAGCCGCAGCTGAGGATGAGCTAGCCGAGCTGCTTTCTGAGATGTGTCTGTGTCCACACCTGGACTACAGCCAGGCCTGGCGGGGGGGTGGGGGGTGGCAGGGGGGGTGGCGGGGAGGAGGGAACTTAAAATTGTGGAAAACAAGGCTTTGTGATGGGCCTGTCTTCCTTGACATAGGCTTTCTCCCCTTGGCCCAGCACCCCCAGCCCAGGCCGTGCAGAATGCCAGTGGAAGCACCCAAGAGGTAGTCTTATGAGTGCAAACATGAGTGCTCGTGGCCTACAGCTAGTTCCCGACAGTGGGGCTTTGTGTAGCTGGAGTCTGATGTTCGGGTCTGACGGCAGCAGCTGCTTATACTTCTGCAGCCTTCCAGTAGCCATTGGTTTTTCTCTAAAGAAACTCTTTCATGTCTTTGTTTTGCTGAGTACAGCTTCAGATCTCTTGATCTAGCCCAGGCCTTTTCCAGGAACCTTTCTATACCTTCAGAGGTTCCCTCTTATCCGAGCCAAGCTGCTGGTCCCTATCCTAATTTAATCCCTTCATTTTCTGGTGTGGGAAATGAGGTCCAGAGAGGTAAAGTGAGTTGCCCAAGGTCACCCAGCTAGGAAGTTTTCTCCTCAACTCACTAGCTTATGAATGCCCCTGATTTCTTTAAGCAATGGCACCCCCCCTTCCATCCTTCAGTCCACCAGTGCCAAATATCCAATAACATCTCCAGTAGCCACGCCATGTTTTCTGAGCTGGTTCTCATCTGCATTCCTAGGCCCTTCTGCTAAGTTCTAAATTGATCCGAACCATGACCACTGGTCACAGATCAGACTGAAATAGGGTAGGCAGGCTCGGGCCCTTCTACCAAGAGAGGGAGCCATGTTGTGCAGGGGCCTCAGTTTTGTCTAAATTATATTCAGGCCAGTCAGCCTGCCCTGGGAGAAGGCTCTTGGGAGTCAGGGAGAGGCATGCTTCTGGAAACTTCCACAGAAGCCTGACCAGCTCAGACCTGTATTAGCTCAGGAAATCCCTATCAACTCCCCACCTTCTAAGCATCTACTTCTCCTTTGCTGCTCTGACTCTTCTGAGCCTCTAATGCCTCTAAAGCTGCTGGGGCATCTGTCCCCACAGCATTGCACCTGCTTGCCCAGCAGAGAACTGGCTCAGGCCTGGGCTGGGCCTCTCCCCAGGCCCTCCCACTTTCCTCAGCCCCAGACAAGGCTTTAACTGCCCCATAAAGGCCACCAGGCCTCTTCCCTTCCACCTTTCCAGCAGATGATCCCTGGATAATTTATGCAGCAAATCCTCTTTAATCTTTAATCTAGGGTCCTGCAGGAAGGGAACCTCTTGTCTCCTCTTCATAGCTTGGGTAAAGGTAGAGAACGTCCGACATTCTACCTTAGGAGGTGTGGACTGGGTAGAGACAATCTGTTACCTTGGACATAAGCCGGGTTCATTTCCTGCAAACCTTTGGTAACTAATGGTTTCTCTTCCAGCTCGTGGGCCCAACCCCCTCTCCTTCCAAAAACATCTCCTGGGGATGCCAGGTGGACCCTTCCTTTTTCTCTGGAGATTTGCTCAAGCCCCCACCGTCATGTGCTGCCTGAACAGGCCACTCTTAGGAGCTGAGTAAGGAAGAGCCAGGTGACCAGTGCAGCGCTGTCCTGAGCGCCTCTGGCACCCTGCGCTTCCCGGGGTCTCGGTCTGCAAGGCCCACCCACCACTCACCACCCACCGCGGGCCGCCCTCACCCCTGCAGGAGCCCGCGATCTCGGAGGGCAGGCCCCGCCTCAGGGCCGGCTCGCCCCGCCCCCGCCGCTAGGCCCCGCCCCCGGCCGGTCCGCACTCAGGGCGGCGGGCGGGGGCCGGCTGTCCGGCGAGGTCGGCTCGCAGCTCCGGCCGCGGGTCGCTCGGGCGCTGTCCAGGCGGAGCTGGCCCGGCCCGGGCTGCAGCCATGGTAAGGCGCGCGGGCGCGGGGCAGGGCCGGGGCGCGCAGGGCCCGCTGCTCCCGGCGGCTCCGCGGGGACCCGCGGCGCAGCAGCCCCGGCTGTGCGGGGCGGGAGGCGCTGTCTCCGGCTGCGGGCACAGGCGGGCACTGCTGGTGGACGTCTCTGTGTCGCCGCTTCCAAGTTTCTCCCTCTGATCCGAGCAGCGACGGAGCGGGCCGCGAGCCCCGGGATGCTGCCGGTGTTTTTGGACCGAGGGGTGGGTCGGTGCTGAGCGGAGCGGGGGGAGGGCGCCAGCAGAGACGCGCATGTTGGGCTGGGGAGGGCGCGTCAGCGACAGGCGGAGGTGAGGGTCCCCCGCCCTTGCCTGGGTCAGCTGTTACCCGGCTGACCCCTCCTCACCCACCTACCCTGGGTTCAGGGGCCAGTACCAACTTCCTTTGGAAAACACACAGAGGAGGCCTACAAACACCGTCTGCCTCCCCAGGAGGGCTGGTGAGACGCTTGGGCCCTCCTTCCTGCCGCCTGGCACAGAGCAGCTCCCAGGCTCTTCCCACTGCGCGCTCTGCCCAGGGACCCCTGAGAGAGGGAAGCCCAGCCCACCATCCTACCCGTGGGATCAGCTCTGTCCCTCTGCCTCTGAGACAGGAACCATGGGGAAGCTTCCTCCTGCTGCATCCTACACTCCCCCACTCCCAAACCAGGTCCCTCTGCAGCAGTGGGGGGTGGGGGAGCTCATTCCTGCCACCTGTCTGGAGGAGAAATAGTCACCCCCGCCAGCCTCCTGGGGCCCCCAGGTGGGAAGTTTTGATGTCTGACTGTTAGGGTGCCAGCTCCCCTGCCATCCCTGCCAGAGCCTGCAACAGACACAGTATGCGGGGGGTCAGGGCCTCCAGGCCCCATGCGAGCCTCTCCTCCCAGTTTGGAAGCCCCCCAGCCTTTGCCCTCGGCACTGGGAGGTGCAGGCCGTTACAGAAGGAGGAGATCTGTGACCAGCCCGTGGGGCAGGATGCTGGCTGTGGACAGCCACCAGAAGGGAACTTCCTGGGCCCACTGGAATCAGAAGCTTCCAAGTCTGGAAAGGCCAACATTTTGGGCTTTTGTCTTTCAAGCTGTGTCCAGGCTGAGGCCCAAGCCTTGGCTAGGAAGTCTCGGTGACCTTGTGACCTTCCCCAGAGGGGGGTTCCTGGGAGAGGCCAAGTGGTGCTTGTCTTTATCCCTGCCCTGCTTCTCCCCACATGGGTAGGGACACAGTGATTGTTCCAGTGATGGAAGCCTGGGGGAGCACTGACTGTCCCCAGTGCCAAGCCCAGCAGGGACCAAGAGGGGTTTTTTCTGCCACACACTAAGTCCAGTTCAGCTGAGGTCTCCGTGCTTTCAGCTTGGCTGAAGCCACCCTGTTCCTCTCTAATTAAAGACACCCCACCACCACCAGAGTCCTCAGCTGTAGGCCCTCGAGGACCAGTTCTTCGGCTGACTGGTTCATGTCAAGCCAGACTCCTCTGGAAGGGGTCTCTCTCTGAAAGGAGATCAGTGTCCCAGCTACTTCGGAGGTCAGTGGATACAGTGGGGAGAGCTCCCCAGCCTAGGAGACCAAAGGGGTTTTAGTTTTCGAGGGAAAAGAAGGACCGGCCAACATTACTAATAATCCTGTGATTTGAAATGTACCTTTTCTCCTCAGGTTCAAAACAACTTGAGGTATCTCTCCCCAGCCTTCCTGGGAGGCAAGACAGGGCCATTCACAATTGGACATTAAGGCCCCGAAATTAAGATAATATTCAAAATCACAGAGGGTGTTTTTGGCCAACCCAGAAACACTGGTCTTCTGACGCCACGTGCACACTCCCAGCCAGGCCCCTCAGTCTGTCTCCCACCTAATTCACCGAACTCCTGGCTCTGAAGCCTCTGGGATACCAGCCTCCCTTTGGCCCAGACTCATGCCCCTCAGAGACCCAGTGCTAGCAGCATCCCCACTGACTCTCTTGAAGCAGTGGGGTGATGGAAGTGATATAGGTCCCCACGAGTCACAGGTCAGGTAGCCTAGGGTGTGGCTGGGACTCTGCAAGGAAATCCAGGGGCAGATTTCTGAAGACAGTGGGGTTCCCTGCTGGGAAAACAAAAAGGGACACTCGGGAAGAAAAGCAGGGCTCTTCCCGTAAGAACATATTTCCAAGGGATTCTAAGACCTCCCACCCTACTTTAGCATTGCTTAGAGTTAAGGTGAAAGAGATTGGAGTCCTTTGGGAGTGGAGTCTCCTGGGTGGCTGTCCCCATGTACTGATGGGCCAGGTCACCTTGGGGACAGCTCACGACCCTCTGGCAGGCCTCGGGGTCCTTGGGGGTTAATAGGAGAGGCCAGGTTGATCAAGAGCCTGTGCTGCAGACAGACTTGGGAGGCTGGTGCTGTGCCCACCGGGGTAGGCAGCGGGCAGGCGTCATGGGACAGCCAATCAGAGGAGGAGGGGACTGCAGAGAAACAGAGTGATCCTGCTGCAGCTGAGCTGTCCTTGGAGGGTGGGAGCCAAGGGAAAGGGAGGAGGAGGGGGTGGGGAATGACATTCCACAGGCTTTTTTGGCCCCTGACAAAGACAGGGGGGGTCAAAGAGAAAGGGAAAGGAGCAAGCCAGGAAGCTGGATTACAAGAGCATCGAGACCAGGCTGTTTCAGTGTGCGAGGAACTTTGCCTGGGAGATAAAATTAGACCTAGAGCTTGCCGACAGGGTGTCCGAAGCGTGGGACATGGACCGTTCACTGGGATGGCAAGGCAGTTCTGTCCCTGAGGACAGGACTGAAGCTGGGGTAAGGTGCTATTCTGGGAGATGGGGGGGACCTGACCTGTCTCCCCCGCTGCCTTGACGGGGATTGGGGCTCAAAGTCAAAAAATGATTTGGTCACTGTGAGTGCTGGGGGTGGGGGAGGAGAGATAGGAGGTGAAGACCCTAGTGTCCTGACTCCTTGTCTAGAGCCCCTGTAGGCCCCTCCCTGATGAGCAGCCAAGACTGGCAGGGAACCCAGGAATGCTGGGTTCCTGGTGACTATTGGAAGACTGGGGATGGTAGGGGTCCCATCAGTGTCTTCCTTTCTCCCTTAACTGCTACCCCTCTGCTCAGTGCCCTTGGGGAAACCAAGTGGAGCACAGTTTTCTCTCTTTCACCGGGACCAAGGGCTGGGTCACTGTGGGGTTATGCAGAGAGGCAGGATTTCCTGGAATTCCCCAGCCTCTAGCTGCCAGAAAACAAGACCTGCTACACCCCTCCTCCCACCCCCAGCCCCATCCCTTCTCTGTTGCCATATAATGAATTCTCCAAGCCGGGACACTTTGAGAGTGAAAAGGGGCACACTTAATCACTATGCTAGGACAACAAACAAGGATGGACAGTTACTCCACTGGAACCCCACAAATACTATCAGTGAGAAAAGCCTGTTAGGCTTGCTTCAGGACAGCCTCTTTTGGTCACTAAGCCCCTACATGCTGGTTCCAGTTCCAGGCTAAAGGGCCTCTCTCCTTCCCTCTGTCCAGGTGGGCCCTGGAGACTGTGGCTACAAGCAGGTGTGGGGACGTGAGAGGAGACAGCCTAGGGGTAGTTCTTAGGGGACTTTTCCCTGCAGCCTTCTGCTGTCTCAGTCCCTACCCTCTGGCATAAACCTGGCAATGTGCCTGTCTGCCTCCCTCAGTTCTTCCCTCTGTTAACTGGGGACCTGCAGAAGACTGTGGCCATCTTGTCTCCCCTCACCCGGGCCGGGACTCCACAGTGGTCTGGGATAGCCCCCACTGGCTTGGCCCATCCCCAGGGAGTGAGTCAGCCGCTGAAGCCAGCCGTTGTCCATTGTCTGGAGGTGGCATGTGGGTATTGTGAGGCAGAGCTGAGCCCAGCACTGCCAGGCACCCCACAAAGGGGGCTGGCTCCCAAAGGAGAGAGGAAGTTTTTGGGTCTAGAGTGGATGTGCACACTCCCAGCCAGACTCCACTCCCAAAGGACTCCAATCTCTTTCACCTTAACTCTAAGTTAAGTGTGCAGGAGTGGGGGGGAGCGGCCTCTCTTCCAAGTTGGAGATGGGGGGGAACAGGTCTCTACAGAGGAGCTGGCCATTCTTTGCCTACCACCCCTGTGGTTCAGGGCTCAGGCCAGATCCCCTCCTGCACTGCTGGCGGAAGCTTACCCCAGGCAGAGGGGGTGAGACAACCGATGGGCGCTTCCTCCCATTTGTCCCTCCCAGTTAGGGGCTGTCAGCAGCCTAGAGTCCTCCCATCTTCCCTCACTGGGTCCCTCCCGGCTCCCTTCCACCCCGCGCTCAGCATCCACTGGCAGGTTTAATCCTCTGTCCGGGGCCTCGACACAGGTTCCGGTGTGGCACGGTGTCTGGGTAAGGGGGGGTCACATCAGCTGTGCTGAGCTCTTTGCAGTGAGCACCTCCAGCAGAGTCTGCCCCTCCGTCCTAGAGCTCACTGACCTGCAATGACGGCAGGCACAGAGCCCCCTGCTGGCCCCTGATTTACCTGGGCCGGCAGCTCCCTGCACCGTGTCCTACTTCCCTCCTGCCCTGCCCCATTCTGACTGCCCACACTCTCCTGGAATCCGGAACCACGTCCTCCTCTCAGCTCTCACGCCTCTATTGCTCCCCCTTATTCAGTCTGGCTTGCTGGCCGTTAGGGCAGTCCCTGGCCCCTGGCTTGGCCGGACCCCCAGCAAGGGCAGGGCGGTGAGCACCCCGTTGAGAGGGAGCATCAGGACTGGAGCTCCTCAGATCCCAACAGCAGTTGTGAGGACTTCGGGGGCTGCCTGGGGCTGCTCCAGGATCTTGGGGTCCCTCCTGGAGTCTCAGCTGGGGGGGGCACAGGAGCAGATGAGGGAGGGGGCTTCCTCTGCTTGGCTGCTAATGCAGTTTCTTTCCCTTCTAACCACAAGCACTTTCCTCTCTCCCCCTCTCACCTTCTCTGGTCTTCCTCTTTCATTCTCCCCTTCGTGCCACCTACCTGCCCACCCCACCCCACCTCCAACCCCCAGATCAAGCGCTTCCTGGAGGACACGGATGATGCAGAACTGAACAAGTTCATGAAGGATTTCCCAGGAAGCGAGAACTGCCACCAACCAGAGGCCAAGACCTGGGGGTCCGGGCCCCAAGTCCTGGAGCCAAGGCCCCAGGCACCGGACCTCTACCAGGATGACCTGGAGTTCAGACCCCCCTCCCGGCCGCAGGCCTCTGACAGTCAGCAGTACTGCTCCTCAGCCCCTCTCAGCCCCTCAGCCCGGCCCCGCAGCCCCTGGGGCAAGCTTGACCCCTATGACTCCTCTGAGGTAGAGCCTCCAGCCCTGCCTTGGTTTTTCAGAGGGCTGGTGCAGGAAGACCCAGGGAGGGAGCAGAGAGGTCCCAAGTGTATGTGCGTGTATGTGCGCGTGTGTGTGCATAGGTGTGCACACACGCATGCGTGCATGATGAGCTGGGGCCTCTCTGTCCTGTGTCAGCCCCGGCTCCGTGGCGTTGACGCTCATGTGCATTGGAAACTGACTATTAGCAGGCCAGGAGCCTAGCTGGTGGCCCCAGAGGGGGCCTCGAAGGAGTCTGACAATGCTCCTCTAGGGCTGGGGCAGAGACCTAGGAGGGAGGGAGAAGGCTGGTGTTGGGTCCTGGGGCCCCTCCTGCCTCCCGCTCTGATGCACTCTGCCTTCCTGTCCATTAGGACGACAAGGAGTATGTGGGCTTTGCAACCCTCCCCAATCAAGTTCACCGGAAGTCCGTGAAGAAGGGCTTTGACTTTACCCTCATGGTGGCAGGTAGAGCAGGGGAAGGGCTGGGCTGGGTAGGGGTGTTGCAGAAAGGGATGGTATATATGTGGGGAGGGGGTGTGGGTAAGGAAGGAAAAAGCAGCCAGTGGCTGTGCCTTTTGGCAAAATAACCAGGAGCTGTGGGTGGCCAAAAGTGTGTATGTGGGGGGCGAGGGGGTGTTGAAGTGGTACAAAGAACACTTGATCAACAGTTTTCTAATATTTGCCTTTTTCTGTGTGACCTTGGGCAACCTCTTACCCTTGCTGGGCCTCATTCAAATAAGAAGGCTGGACAAGCTGTTCTCGCTGATTCCTTCAAGCTCTAATGTGCTATGACCTTCTCAATGTCCCTTCCCAATATGTCTCTTCCCAATTAGATAAGAAAGCAGCTCCCTCTACACCTTGTTCTAGTGGGGTTGCCTCTTGGCCATAGCTCTTCTACATATCTTCTGATCATATCTTCTGTCCTCTCTCCCCATCAGGAGAGTCTGGCTTGGGGAAATCCACTCTTGTCAATAGCCTCTTCCTCACTGATCTGTACCGGGACCGGAAACTCCTCAGTGCTGAAGGTAAGGAAAGGAGAGGGGTGTGAAGACAGGCATGCAGACTTGACTTGGGAAATCAAACCCATGCCTGAGCCTGGGGCCTGGGGCCTTCCCCAGCAGGCAGGAAACCATGGCTTCCTAGAGGGATTGACAGCATCTCTCCATAGGCCTATCTAGCCTGGCAGTCCACCAGCCAGCTCCCTAAAGATTTGGGTGCCGAAGCAGGGCAGGGACCAGAATCCTGCTCTCTGAGTGAGTCTCTGACCCCCAAAGGATTCCAGGAATCCAAGAAAAGAGCCGAGAGCAGAGAAGAGGCTGGGGCCAGAGCCAACAGCCACCGGCATTTCCTGTGTTGGGAAATGTGCTCCTTGCTGGTTCCCAGAGAACAGGCCCCCAGGCAGCTTGGGGTGGGAAGGGGGGCAGTGTGGATGAGGCAGTCTGGGCAGCAGAGCTGGTTGGGGTGGGCGGTTTGTCCTGACTGGGCAGGTCCTTGCCCTTGCCCTGGCCTCAGTTTCCCCCTTCTCCAGAGCGGATCATGCAAACGGTGGAGATCACTAAACACGCAGTGGACATAGAAGAGAAGGGTGTGAGGCTGCGGCTCACCATTGTGGACACACCGGGTTTTGGGGATGCAGTCAACAACACAGAGTGGTATGTCTGACCAAGCACAGCCCCAGCTGCCCGCTTCCCATTACACACACACACGCACACGCACACGCACACACACACACACGGGCGCACCCACAGGCACAGACATAACCAAAATCCTCGGGAGGAAAGTTTGTGGCCTCGAGCACACCACCGCCCCTTACTGGGCAGCTGTCTCTTCCTGTGAAATGAGAGGGAGAGGGTTGGAATAGATGCTCTTTAACGTCTTTTCTGACTCCGACCTATACTTCTATAATGGGGGCGAAGACGCAAGATAAGAAAGTATCAGAAAAGCAAACCCATGTGAAAACATGTAGCACAGGGCCTGACATCTAGTAGTTGCTCAATAAACATCCCCCTCCCTCCTTCCTTTTCTTTCACCAGCCACATTTTAGGGGCCACAAACCACTTTTATTAAAGGGATGAGAGTTCCTTGAGGAAGGGGTGAGGAGGAGAAAGAAGAGGCAAAGGGCAGACAAATGGGTTGAACTTTGTTTAAACTCCACGCACCCTCTAGGCTAGAAGAAAAGGTGGCTTTGCCACACACGCCATCATCCTTGGCTTTCTTCTTTCAGGAACTGGAAGGGATGCTTAGATAATGGCCAGACCCAAGTGAGTAGATGAGAAGCAGAATGAATGATGAAGACAGGAGAGGAGGTGGTGCCCTTGATGAAATCAGGCAAGGGGTGCTAAGACCACTAGACTGAGTTCAGACCTTGATTCAGCATTTAGTAACTGTGTGGGCTTGAGCAAATGACTGCATTCCCGTTTCTTTAGCTGAAACATACCTGCCCTTACCATCTTGCCCAGTTGATCTGAAAATCACCCTGAATGATGCATGTGAATGTGCATTAAAAACTAAAGAGCTGTTTACTAATTACACTCATGGATTTTAAGATCATAATTGCAGCACCAGTGCTAAACAGAAGTGCGGGGCCCCTTGTTGAAAATGATGATGAATTTCAAGATGGCCACAGCAGAGAAGCAAACCAAGGGTGGGCCCTTCTGAGATTAGGGCCCTGTGTCGACTGCACAGGTGGCCCTTCCAGAAAGCTGACCCTGGGTAATTGCCCCACAGACTCATCAGACCCTTACAGACCTTTCTGTGCTCTGGGTCCCCATGACATGCTTTATCATTACTGTATGTGATGTTTTGGCTTAGCACACAGATTCATCTTCAACTACAGAGTCTTAGCCTTGAGGGGAGGGCCATTTCTTCTTATAGTCTTGCCCTGGCACTGTGCTGGCACATGGTACGTCGTCTCCTGATGGAAATATTCCTGATGGATCGAGGTGGCCTCCGTGTCATCACCGCTAGGTATATGTCTCAGCACCTGGGGCTTGTCATGAAACTCTACCCCAACCAGCACCTTGTTCCTACTGTAGCAAGTATCATCCCCTCCTTCAATCAGTCTACGTGCCTCCTCTTCCCTTCCCTAATAATAATAATTTCATTTGCTTGGCCTTTCACAGGCCATGCACCTGCACATACGCTTATTTAGTCAACCAGCAGGAATTTATTGAGCATATACTAGGTGTCCAGCCAGTGCTGGGCATTTTAAGGGATACAGAACACGTGTGAATCGTCCTGGTCACTGAGAGGCTTGTGGTCCTAGTGGGGGTGGGGGTGGGTGGGGGGTAGGGGACAGCAGTTCGCTCACATGTGTGTCAATCAACTCAAGTTAGTAAATAGGTCAAGCAGTGTAGCAGCAAGCACGCTGAGGAGTCAGAAGGTCAAGGGCTTGTGTGGGTAGAGAATTTGCTAGCCAAAATGATCTGGATTGTCTCTTAGCTGCTGCAGATTTAGTTCCTTCCTGTATGAAATGAAAGTGATGGTGCTTATATGTCCACCTATCAGGGCACCTGTCAGTGAGGATGAAGCTAAATAACAGAAGAGCAAAAGACTTGAAAATTGGAGTTCTTGAATGTGTGTGTGTGTATATATATATATATATATAAAGGATTTCACTGTGTGGTGGAGAGAAGGGGAGAGCATTGTGTACACTGGAAGGAGTCTTCACGGAAGAGAGAGTTCTTAGCTATGGCCTTGAAGTATGGGGTGGGTTTAGAGAGGTGGAGGCGAGGGTAGAAGCACATGAACAAAGGTTTGGAGGCTGGACTATGAACCTGACTGTGAACGTGACCGAGGGCTTCCAGGTGGCGTTAACCTGCAGGCATCTTATTCTTACTGGTTTGTTTGGTCACCTTGGTCTTTTCCTCTCCTCAAACTAGTATTTATTGAACTTCGCCTGTGTGCTTCGTCCGGTTTTCTAGTGGGACAGGCGAGATACACCCCTGTTGCCCCCAGGTACCTCCCTGAAGATGTGGGCAGGCAGCCAGGGAATAACAGAGCCTTGAGGACACTGCCCAGGGCGTGGGCTATTCTGTGGTCCCAAGCTCCCGAGGCAGCCCCCACCCCCACAGTTTCTCTGCTTGTCTGTCCCCTGCCCCAGCTGGAAGCCTGTGGCAGAATACATCGACCAGCAGTTTGAGCAGTATTTCCGAGACGAGAGTGGCCTGAACCGCAAGAACATCCAAGACAACAGGGTGCACTGCTGCCTGTACTTCATCTCACCCTTCGGCCACGGGTACGGTCCGAGCCTGAGGCTCCTGAGCCCGCCAGGTGCTGCTAAGGGAGCCGGCCGAGAGCGCCAGGGGCAGGGCTGCTGCTAGCCCGGGGTCACACATTCCTGTTCCCCAGGCTCCGGCCACTGGATGTTGAATTCATGAAGGCCCTGCATCAGCGGGTCAACATCGTGCCTATCTTGGCCAAGGCGGACACGCTGACACCTCCTGAAGTGGAGCGCAAGAAACGCAAAGTGAGGGAAGCTGGTGGGGGGAGGGGAGCAGGTGGGCTTCTGGAAAGGATGGGGTCGCCAGAACCGTGGGCCCCTCATGTGTTTGCCAGATCCGAGAGGAGATTGAGCGCTTTGGAATCAAGGTCTATCAGTTCCCAGACTGCGACTCTGATGAGGATGAGGACTTCAAATTACAGGACCAAGCCCTAAAGGTGGGGCCACTCCAGGGCATCCCTTTTCCATCTTGTTTCTTCGGGGCAGAAGAGGGAAGTAGAATTCTTTTTAAGGGGTGGGAAAGGACCCTGTTTTCCTAGAGTGAAGCAGAGAAAATAAAGATATAGGTGGAAAAGAACAGGTGAGAATGGGGGGTATTGACAGGCCCCCCCCCCAACTTCTTCCAGGAAAGCATCCCATTTGCTGTAATTGGCAGCAACACTGTGGTAGAGGCCAGAGGGCGGCGAGTTCGGGGCCGGCTCTACCCCTGGGGCATCGTGGAAGGTAAAGCACTGAGCTTGTGACCAGGGCATCTCCTTGCCCTCAGCGGCTCTCCCCATGCTCCTGGCTGACCCCTAGCCTTGCTATGCAGTGGAAAACCCAGGACACTGCGACTTTGTGAAGCTGAGGACAATGCTGGTGCGTACTCACATGCAGGACCTGAAGGATGTGACGCGGGAGACACATTATGAGAACTACCGGGCACAGTGCATCCAGAGCATGACCCGCCTGGTGGTGAAAGAAAGGAATCGCAAGTATGGCCACAAGCCAGGACAGAGCTGGCAGCGGGGGGGATCCCAAGCGCAGCCTTGGGTGAGAGCAAGCCCTTCCTTTGTTCTTCTACAGGCCCTGGGCTCAGTCCAAGCAGGTGCTGGGGTCCCCCTAGCCTTACCAAGCCCCTTTTCCCCTTCCCCTCAGCAAACTGACTCGAGAGAGTGGTACCGACTTCCCCATCCCTGCTGTCCCACCAGGGACAGATCCAGAAACAGAGAGGCTGATCCGAGAGAAAGATGAGGAGGTGAGAGCAGTATGGGGTGGTAGGGATTGACAGCATGGAGGGTCCCTGCTTAATTATAAACCTCAGTATTTCTTGGTTTGGGAGTAGGAAGATCCCTGGCCCCGGTACCTATCTGGGTCCTGGACTGGTGGATTGATTGTTCTACCGAGGGTCTCCATCACACCTCTGGGCTACCATGGCCCTGGCTAAGGGATCAGAGCTTGGGGGCACTTCCTTAGCACTGTAGGACTCTAAAAGGCCCCATTTTGCTGTGTGTGCCTGTTCCAGCTGCGGCGGATGCAGGAGATGTTGCACAAAATCCAAAGACAGATGAAGGAGACGCATTAGCTGCCTTTCAATCCTGGATATTTAAATCTCCTCTTCGTCCTGCCCATGCCGGCCCCTCCCAGCACCAGCTCTGCTCAGGCCCCTGCAGCTACTGCCACTTCGCCTTACATCCCTGCTGCCTCCCCAGAGACTCAGAGGAAATAAAGTTTAACCAATCTATAGCTGCCTTCTGGTGTCGCTGTCTGTATCTTTACCACCTCCTGGAGACCAAGAAGATCCTAGGACCCACTTTTGAAAGGGTGCTGAAGGAGGGTGCTGGTTTCTGGCTTTTAGTAGGAAAGAGGGAGTAGGGGAAACTTTCCTCTCCTATGACAGTGTTCGGTCTCTGCCTAGAATCCAACCTGGCCTCTCCTTCGTACTGACCACATCTATCCTGCCTCTATTATCTGGGGCCTGTTGTACTGACCACATCTATCCTGCCTCTCTGATCTGGGGCCTGATCCTCTCCATCTTTTCCACATACAGTATTTTCAGTTCTATGGAAGCTTTGGATCTGGTATCTGCTCTTGGGAAAACATGGTATTACCTGCATGCAGCCTCCTGACTTCCTATTTCCCCTGATTTGGGGAAAGGGATATATACAGAATTAAGCTCTGCCCTCTAGGAAGCCTGTAACAGAGCACTGAACAAATACTGAAACACTTGTGATCATCAAACAGTATAGTAAGTGCTGGGAATGAGTAAAGTACAATCGTCCTGGAAGAGTTCAATATTCATGTAACAAATATTAAGCATCTGCTAAGTTGCAGACACTGTTCTAGACCCTGGAGTTAAAGCAGTGAACACGGGCAAGGTTCCTGTTTTGCCGGAATTTACCAGCTGTAGTAAAAGTTCCAAAGTTCTGTAAACAGAGACACGTGAAGACAATTTGGCGCCGGGGCCTGGTATGTAAAGCCGTCAGGCCAGCCCCCCACAGTGAAGCTGTCGGTTGAGAGTCTGAATCAACGGTTCTCCCGTTCCGCCGGGTTGGTGGTATCGCTGGGCCATGGCGACCTCCAGCGGCCACCCTCCGCCATGCTGCCTACTCTGGCTTCCCAGAGGGGAGAGAGGAAGGGAGGAGCAAAGAGCTGGGTGAGCCCTGTTCCCACTCTCTTTACAGACCAGGAGGTCGCCGCTAGCTAGTGGCAATCTGAGATCCAGATTTCATATCTCTCAAGTGAGAGATCTTTACTCGGGACTGACGGCACCATGCAGGTCCTGAAGGACGGCACGGTCGGTTCGCTGATGCAAAGTAAGGGTCGGAGGAACCCGTCACGACGCAGAAGAGAGGATACTCCCGCCTCCAGTCGGAGAAGACGGAAGACAGAACGTCGCGCCCAGGCCTCCCTCCTCTCTTAGCCTGCGGGGTCTTTTCTCCCTTTCCGGGTTTGGGACGAGATAACCGCAGCGAAACCAAAAACTGGAAATGGACAAACTAAGGTGCCACCGGGGATCTATTTGAGAACTACACCCAAGGCGTGGTCGTCGCCGGAAGTGGCTGTAAGGCCTGTGCCCCTACAAGGCTCCGCCTCCAATTGCGCTACCAGTAGGCGACAGCCACCCCCACTTCCGGCCCCTGGAGCCTCATCCAGCAGCCCCCCTTTTATTGCTCTCTCATTGGCTGCCGCAGGGACGCGCTGTGATTTCCCATTGGCCGAGCCTCCTCTTCGGGGCCGTGCCTCCTCCCTCCAGGTACTGTCTTGTCTTTCGGCACCCGATAGGCTGAAGGCTGGGAGGGCGTCTGCCCCACTTGACCAATGAGCGGAGTGAAGAGTGAGGGCGGCGGCTGCGTGGTGGGGGCAGGGCGGGACTTGGTGTGGCTATTGGCCAGGGCGGGCACAGACCGGAGATACGATTGGCTGGGGAAAGAGGCACCGTGGTGGGGTCGAAGCTGCGCGGCCTCGGCAGCTGGGGGAGACGGAAGTGGTGAGAGCGCGGCCTCGGAGGGTCGGGCGGACGCCGCCTGGGTGAGTCACCGTGCCCCGTGCACTGCTAGTCTGGGAACCGCAACGACCACGTCTTGCCCCGCCCCGCCCCAGCCCCTCCGGCTTTCATGGGCCCCGCCCTCTGTCATTCTGGGCCCCGCCTCCGAATCTTTAGGCTCCGCCTCTAGAACCTGGACACCTGGGCTCTCCTGCCAGACTGGCCCGCCTCCCCCCCCCCCCTCCCCGGCCCGGGGCCAGATCCCCTTGGTCCGGGAGCCCTGGGCATCCCAGCCCTGGTCCTTGTTCCTCCTTCCCTCCCTCCATTTCCCTGAGGCTGCGTGCCAGTGGGCGGTGAGGCAGCACCTCTGGCTTGCCTCTTGCTGGCTCCCCCGTGAGGACGGGTGGGCTGTGATCAGGGAGGCTGGCAGGACCACAGATGGAGGCTTTTATCCCCGCGGCCTTCCGCAGGGCACTGCTGGACTGCTCCTGAGCTCGGATAGCAGGCATGAAAGAAAGTGTCAGTAAAACCTGGGCCTGGCTCCCGAAGTGGGCCAAGGAGGCCCATCCTGAATTTCTGTTGCTTGGGCCCATTTGACAGGTACTGACTCTGAGGCCTGGGGTGGCCTAATTGTCCCTGTTCTGTGGCCTCCTCCCACAAACCTGCATCCCACTTGGTGCCAAATACTTTCAGCAGATCTATTCAGTCCTGCTGCCAGAAGGCATTCTGCTCACAGGTTGTGGTCCCCTCCCTCTTGTCCTCTGCTCTGGACTCTGCCCCCAGTAAACAGGTCAGGTGGGTGCTACTCCCAGACTTAGAGGCTGGCAGAGCGTTCCTGTGGATTCATGTCCCTCCAGGGCCAGAAGTTAAGTCCTGGTTGGGCAGCCTCTCTTTTCAGAGTTGGCAGTTCTTTTGCTTTCCCAAAAAGAACAGTGTTTGGAGTGTTCTTCTCTTTCTGGTCTGGGAATCGGGACCCTTGAGTTCTGCTGAATAATCTTGGATGACACTCATTCCTGCTCCAGAACTTTGTGGCCAACTCCATGCCCTGCAGAATCACTTGTTGCTTTCTCCCCACGTAGCTCACATTGCCTCTGTCTAGCACGGGGACTTGTGGAGAGGCCGGATTCTCTGTGAAATTCGCTGTAGAGGTTAGGAGCAGATGTGTGGCATTTGCTGATTCTAAGGTAATGTTAATGGTGCTCTTTAATCTTGTTTCTGTCTTTTTACAGTAAGAAGCAGACAGCCAGGACCCTCACCACAGTAGAATGGTGAGTATTCTCTCTTTCCTCAGACCATTGTGTTTTCTATAATCCTTCTGTCTTTCTCTGTGAAGCTGCCCTACCTCTCCTGGACCTTGAGCTCCATGCTACTCTGTTCAGCCTCTAAACAGGTTCATCTCTCCTGGAAATAAATTAGGGTTTCTTTAGATTGCAAAACATCAGCCAATATACAGGAAGCCTCTAGAAGTCTTTTCCTGCACATGCTATGTATGCCATGCCTTCCCTATACTACCACTGGCTCTCTTAGCCTTTCATAATGGCCCTTCTCTTGCTTTTCTTGGGTCCCTGGTGGAAGCTCTCTGTTCTGGTCTGAAAAACCAGGCCTCCTTTATCTCAAGATCCTTGCATTTCCTAGTGGGCCCCTCGAATATTGTGGGTGCTGTATCAGGAGTGACTCCACCGAAATGGTGGGGCTTCTCCAGCTCTAAGATGCTGCTGTCTTTTAAGCTCCTGCACTCATAGCTGACTGGATATATAGCAGGAGAGCAGCCTCAAGGGGTCCCGAATATCACTGGGTTGCGCAGGGAATGGGGGTGGGGGTGATAATGATCCTGTATACCTTCCATTAACTGGAAATGCCCTTCTCTCATCTCACGTTCAGGGAACCCCTTACCTAACCCCGGAGAACTCGGAGGAGGAGGCAGTGAGATGAAAAGAGAGCGGAGAGTTGCAGGCCCTTGCTCTGGCTGTATCTTTTCAGTTTCTTCAAGTGTCCCCTGTGCAGGTTAAGGAATTCAGTTGGTGAGAGGACCTCTCCTTCCCTCCGCAGGCATGTGGGTATGTGGTTCTGGTCTCTTCCTAGAAAGCCTGCTGGTCTTGGTCCCCACCCACTAATAGCCCCCTTCCTTTTTTCTTCTGTGACTTTCCGAAAGGACCATGGGCTTCAGAGTTAGCCGAGTCTATTTTTGAATCCTAGCACCACCATTTAAATAGCTTAGGTAACTCGCATATTTTCTTTCTAAGCCTGACCTCTCACCAGCAAAACAGGTTAATTCTTGGAGAGTTGAAAGGTTTTAGTGAGGGGCGCCTGGGTGGCTCAGTCGTTAGGCGTCTGCTTTGGCTCAGGTCATGATCCCGGGGTCCTGGGATCGAGCCCCGCATCAGGCTCCCTGCTCTGCAGGAAGCCTGCTTCTCCCTCTCCCACTCCCCCTGCTTGTGTTCCCTCTCTCTCTCTGTCAAATAAATAAATAAAATCTTAAAAAAAAAAAAAAGAAAGGTTTTAGTGAGATAATGTTTGAAACCTGTCTGGCTCATAGTAGATGCTTAATACAATGTCAGGTTTTCTCCTATTTCCCCCCCCCACCCCCAAAGCAAAACCAAAGCCCTGGTTTCTGCAAGTTACCAGGCACAGGAAGTGTGGGGTTCTGACCAGCAACTTCTGTGATTCTTGATGACACGTTGAGCCTCACTGTTCCTTATTCCTTGGCCCTCTACCCAACTCCCTCCATACCCTACTCTTTGTTTTTGCATAGCTTTTGTGGTCTGTAGTTCCAGTCTTCTCTTTCCCAGCCTAAAAAATTCTTCTCCAAGAAGGACTTTCTTATCCAGACTTCAGAGGATGTGAAACAAAGGGAGATGGAGCTGAAGGAGTAGGGTTGGGCAGGGGCCATGGAATAAAAACACTTAGAGAACTTCCCTTTCAGGAGTGTGGTGTGACCAACCTGGCATAGACCAGTGTCTGTTCTAAGGGGCAAAAAAAGGGAGTGCGATTTAGTGACGTCAGGGATTGGAGGACACTGGTGGACAGGGGTTTGGCGGGTGGTGGTTTTAGGGAAAAGAGGAAGCCTTGAAACCGTAGGTGGGCTTTATCTTGGGAATTCAGGACAGGCACTGGGGGAACTCAGTGGGGAGAGCATGGGGACAGAGGGTGAAAAGAGGGGTGTGGGCCGGCTCACCTGAGAATATGGGAAATGAAAAGATGTAGGAGGGCTTGCCTCACCCTCTCACGCGGTCTGGGGGCAGTCCCGCAGCCCAGACTGCGAAAGCCCCCACACGTCCCCTGAGGACGCCCTCGCACGCCGCCGAGGGGCCGCGAGGAGGGAGGAGCCTGGAGCCGTGGGCGGGGCCGAGAGGATCCGCCCCCCACGCCCCTCCTCGCGCGGCCCCGGGCGCTCCCCTCGTCCGGCTCCCCTCCCTTCCGCGCTCGTGCCGGAGGGCGGAGCCGGGCTCGCTCCATTGTGGACAGGAGGGAAGAGGCGCGCGGGAGCCGAGCCGAGGCCCCGCCGCCAGCGCGCTCGCCTCCTGGTCGCCGCGGCTGCACCTGGCGGGCCCCGCAGCCGGGATGCGGCGGGCGCCCGGCTCTGGCGGGCAGCGCAGCGGCTCCGGGGACATGTGCGCTGGCCCAGACCGCCCGCGACCATGAGCCTGACCGCCCGCGTCTCCTGCTCCATGCTCAGCTGCTTCGTAAGTGTTAGCCTGGCCTGCGGGGGCCCGGGGGTCCCAGTGCTTGCTGCACCCGCAGCCCCGCCCAGGGCCAGCCCTTGGCGATTCCGAATTTTAGCCCATCCCCCTTCTCGTGGCCCCTGGCAGGGGAAGGGGGGGTCCCTTTTCCTTCGTGGACTTGCTTTCATCTTCGGGGGCCGGGGATTATGGAAAGCGGGGGCTGGAAATTCTGTGACCCATCTTGGCCCCGCAGCCACTGCCCTTGACTGCAGATCTCCAGGCCCCGCCCTGCAGGGGTACATCCTTTTACCTCCGCCTCTCCATCTTGGTCCCACCCGCAGCATCCTTGCTTGGGGATGTGGGATGTGGCTGGTCTGGGATGTTACGGGGCCAGTCGGGGAGCACAGGATGTCTGAGCTGTTTCCCTGGCTCCACTCCCCTCCCCCTTCCACCACTCCATACCTCACCTGACACGCCAGTCTTTTCTCCTTGACTGTCCCCCAGACAGCCTCTCTTCTCCATCTTCCCTGCCTCTGCAGGGCTCCGTACCTCTGCATCATTCCCAGTCCTCCCCTCCTTCCCTCCTCCCCCCCTCTGGCTTAATGCTCCTTCCCAGCTTCCCCCATCTGTCCTCTCAGATGTTCCCACCCCTCCCCTCCTTACCCCCACCCCCACCCCCCGTGGGTGGCTGCCAGGCCTCCTCTCTCTCTCTCCCCTGGCCTTCCTTGAGTCTCCTGGTTTCTCCCAGACCCGTGGATCCCCTCTTCACCCCTCCCTGGTAGTTGGGAGAGGAGTTACTTCTCCTTAGGAATTCCCCTCTTATCAGCAGGCAGGGCAGGTTGCTTGGTAGGTGGAGGGGGGCGGGGGGAGGCTCTTGAGCAGTGTGGGCCTAACTGGAAGATAAGCTCAGCTCCAAAACACATCCTCCTTTTGAAAGCATCCCTGAAGGCCCTCTAGAGGCATGGGACTGAATCCCCCAAACCACTTCTCTTTGTCTCCTTCACCTACCAGACTGAAGTGTCTGTGGCTTTAGGGGCCCGCTTTCCCTCCTGTCCCCATATCCAGCTGCCACACCTGGTTCCTCTTTCTCAGGGCAGCACCTCCCGTTCCCACTTCTGTCTTACCCTCACATTGTTTTCTCTCTTTTTCTTAGTTTTCTCTCTTCCTCCATTTGGGAAATATTGGTTCTATTTGGTTCTGCTGCTCTTCGAGGAGTGCAGACTCCCAGTTCCTCTTCGGACCTTACTCTTCCCTTAGGCTGACTAGGCTTGAGCACCCCCTCCACTTCTCCCCTCCCACCAAGTCAGGCCCCTTTTCCTTCCTCTGGTGACCAAACCTTTATAAGTGTGTAGGGGGTCTGTGCAGGTTTATTGAGGGAGGGGAGCAGAATGAGGTCTGCTGGGCCAAGCGGAGCCTGGTGACTTAGGGCTGAGGCTTTCCCCACAGGGTGAGGAGGGGCCCCCCAGCCTGGAGTACATCCAAGCCAAGGATCTGTTCCCCCCCAAGGAACTAGTGAAAGAGGAGGAGAACCTGCAGGTAAGGAGGAGTTGGGGGCCCAGGGTGGGGGAGCTCTCTGCCCAGTTAAAAAGACCTTTCCTTCCCTCCCCTACAAACAGCATCTCCAAGGGGATCTAGTCCTGGGGCTTTGGCTTCCTGTTTCCGGGTCTCCAGAGGGAGGGGAATCTGTGTGTGCGCGCGCTACGGAGCCTTTGGCCCCAGGGAAGGAAGGGCAGCTTTCCTGTGTGGCCGTTGCCTGGTGCTGCTACCGTGGAGAAGACTCTGCTGTTTCGCCTTGGCCCAGCTTTTCCCGAGGGAATCCCACAGGTCGGGGTTGGGGAGGGCAATGGAGGGATGACTCACTTCTGGACTGAGGGTTCCTCTGTCCCTCGACAGGTGCCCTTTACAGTGCTGCAGGGTGAGGGAGTGGAGTTCTTGGGCCGGGCAGCCGATGCCCTCATTGCCATCTCCAACTACCGGCTGCATATCAAGTTCAAAGATTCTGTCATCAACGTGAGTTCGTGTCTTGTTCTCCCGCACCCAAGGCAGAATCCCTGCCTGGTTCGAGGTGGGATTGCTCCAGCGCTGGACTTGATCATGTCTCCAAAGAGTTGGGGTTCCTTTCTTTTTCTCGCTAACTTTTTGTTTTCCTGCCTCCTTCTCCTGGCTGTGGGTCTGTCCTCCTGCCTCTCTCTTATTCTTCCTTCCCTTACTCTGTTGCTGACCCTTCTAAGGGGCACAGTGGCATTGTTGGGAAGAGTGCCGCTTACCAACTGTGTGGCCTTGGTTAAGCCACCCAACTGAGGCTCAGTTTCCTTCGGAATAATTTGGTGTGAAAATATCTGCTTTGCAGGGTTCTTGTGATTATTCTTTAAGGTCACATAGGTAGAGGACCCCGCACAGTTACCAGGCACATAACTGGCCCTCAGTGAATATCGGCTTCCTTCCTTGTATTGGATACATCCCCATCTAGGCTGGGGTGGGGATCTGAGCTTTAGTTTGCCCTTCCTTTAAAGGTCCCCCTCCGGATGATTGACAGTGTGGAGAGCCGTGATATGTTCCAGTTGCACATTGCCTGCAAGGACTCCAAGGTGGTGAGGTGAGAACAGTGGGGCTACACTCAGGTCCTCTGGCCCTAGTCTTGCCCAGACGTCTCTGATGCAGGGTTTCTCTGGAGCAAGAAGGAAAAATATTGTCTCACTTTCCCCATGAGGAAGAAAAGGTAGAAACCCTCTGTCGGTTGGGAGGTCAGTTTCCTGACCCACAGTATCTTGACCTGAAAAAATGGGATAATGCATAGCTCATGGAATTGTCATAGGGATTAAATAGGGTAGTGAAGGCACCTAGGATTGGCATGTAGAGCTCACATGATGGTGGGTTCATTTATTAGCTCACTTAACATATATTTATTGAGCACTCCACTCTATGGCAGACTGTTATAAGCACAGGGGATACAGCAGGGAACTAGTAGAAAGAATTCCCTGCCCTCATGGAGCTTATATTCCAATGGGTAGTTACCAGCAGTAAATAATGAGTAAAATGTGTTAAATGATAGTAAATGTAAAGGTGAAAAAGCAGGGAAAGGGGATATGGAGTGCTATGGGGGTGAAGGTTGTAGCTCTAAACAATAGGGTCAGAGAAGGTTGCATTGAAAAGGTGACATTTGAGTCAAGACCTGAAGAAAGTGACCATGTGGATATTTGAGTGAAGAGGGTGCCAGACAGAGAGAACAGTGAGTGCAAAGGCCCTGAGGTGGGTATTGTACCTGGCATATTGGAAGAATAGCCAAGAGGCCAGTGTAGCTGGAGTGGAGTGCACATGGGTGAGGGTAGTGGGATATAAGAGCTGAGAGGTAAGGGGGGTGTCAGAGTGTCATAATGATTGGCTTTTACTTTGAGGGAAATGAGAAACCACTGCAGGGTTTTGAGCAAAGGAGAGATATGATCTAATGTTTTATAGAATCGCTCTGGCTGCTCTATTGAGAATAGATGGGAGGGGGTCAGGCGAAAAGGCAAGGGCAGAAGCGGAGGGATTGGTTAAGAAGCTCTTGTAGTGAGCCAAGTGAGAGAGCATGGTGGCCTGGCTGGGGTGGCAGTGGCCAAAATGGCGGGAAACGTTCAGATTTTTGAAGGGAGAGATGACAGGATTTGCTGACAGATTGGATATGAGCGAAAGAGGAATCTGGAATGACTCCAAGGATCATTAAAAGAGTGTTCAGTTTAGAATCTGTCATGTGCTCAGGTCTGTAGGGATTCAGAAGGAGAATCCACACTGGCCTTCCCTTCAAGGAGGTTGAGGTCTAGTTGCTGAAGGAAGACTTAACAGTGGCAATATGCTGTGGGAAAACTGTTTAATACTCTAAGCATATTAAGACTGAGAGAGGAAGGGGTCTGTAAAATTGGGTGGGCTGGGAAGGCTTCAAAGAAGATGGGGGACCAGAACTGTTTTCCAAGTGTCAGTAGGATGTGGCTTGGCCGAGAGGAGGCGTTATCAAGAGGAAGTGAAGAAACAAAGACACAGGAATGGTGTGAACAGGACTCCTGCCTTCAGCAGGAGTCGTGAGAGAACATGGAGTACCAGGACATTCAGGGACATGTGGTAGAGTTTAGATTTGATGTAAGAAGTGGTAGGTCTCCATTCGAAGGGATAAGTATGTCCCAAGGACTAGAGTTCTTGGGAAGACAATTGTCACAAAGATAAGTTCTCTTGGCCAGTGTCCCTGGTCCTCCCCAGGGTCCCCATGCTTTCCCTCCTGCTTTAAAGCCTCTCCTCCCCACATCCTTCCTGTGGCCTTGTTTTTGACCCTTATGGCCACAAGGCACACCTGTCTCTTGTCTCAGTCTGTGGCTTCTCGCCTGGCAGGTGCCACTTCTCCACTTTCAAGCAGTGCCAAGAGTGGCTGTCACGGCTAAGCCGGGCCACCGCGAGACCTGCCAAGCCTGAAGACCTCTTTGCCTTCGCCTACCATGCCTGGTGCCTGGGGCTGACAGAGGAGGACCAGCATACCCACCTGTGTCAGCCAGGTAAGGCCAGGCTGTTTTATTTGGGAGACTTCCTATCTCTTGGTTCTTAGCCCTCCTCCGCCCACGGACATGGCGCCCTTGGAGGCTGACGGGCAGGCACGGGGGCTGTGTTGCAGGAGAGCACATACGATGTCGGCAGGAGGCTGAGCTCACGAGGATGGGCTTTGATCTGCAGAATGTCTGGAGAGTCTCCCACATCAACAGCAACTACAAGTGAGAGGGCAGGGGGTGGAGAACCCAAATACCAATCCAGACTCCGACCTCGCTGGGCCGAGCCCCTGGTTCTGTGACAGAGGAGGCCTCCTGGTCTCTCTTCCCACAAAGCCACCCCTGGGGATCTTGTTGTCACAGGCCTTAGATCACTCTTGGTGACCCCATCTGGTCTCTTCACAGATTGTGCCCCAGTTACCCCCAGAAGCTGCTGGTTCCTGTGTGGATCACAGACAAAGAGCTGGAGAATGTGGCTTCCTTCCGCTCCTGGAAGCGGATCCCCGTGGTTGTGTATAGGTGAGCAGTAGGGGACAGGAAGCAGGGAGGACACTTGTTTTGCAAGAAGGACGGAGTCAAAAGTGGAGATTGTGCCTGGTTGGCTGGGAATTGACACCTGCAGGAAATGAAATAATTTCCAATCAAAAACTGCCTTAGCTCTTTTCTTCTAAAGATGAGGCTTTTGGAGAATACATTCACTTTACTTTTTCGGAGGATGTGTGTGTGTGTGTGCATGTGTGCGTGCGTGTGTGTAAAATGTTGCATCAATGTGTGTACAATGTTGTGTGTGTAAATTGTTGCATTAGAACAGGGATGGCAAACTATGGCCCGGTGAACCAAATCCAGCCTGCAGCCTGTTTTATGTACAGCCCAGCGCTATGAATGATTTTTACATTCTTAAACGGTTGCTTTTTTTTTTTTTTTAAACCCAAAAAGAAAGAAGAATGTGTGACAGAGACAGGCTGTGACATGTAAAGCTGAACATGTATTGTTTGTTTCTTTACTGAAAAAGCCTGCCGATCCCCTGCACTAGAACATTGTAGCTAAAATAGAGTGAGATAGCAGCTATGAGGTTAGGAGTTGTTCTGCTATGGGCTTAGGCTTGTTCTCTTGCTGGGATCTGTACTTGGAGCAGGTGCTGTGCAGATTCAAGAAGCCAAGGTCACCTTGGGAACACAGAGACCGTTTGAGAAATGTGTGTGACAGCGCTTTGTAAACTGTAGAGCCCTCTAGATATGTCAAGGGCTTTTAGTTGCTAGTATCACAGCCTGGGTGAATGGGTAGCCCCGGTCGGCTCTGGTGGTAGGCCTGGGGGGCCGCTGGGGGCTGCAGACGGCAAGGGCATGATGGTTACTTCCGTCTCGTCAGACACCTGCGCAACGGGGCTGCAATCGCCCGCTGCAGCCAGCCGGAGATCAGCTGGTGGGGCTGGCGCAATGCCGATGATGAGTACCTGGTCACGTCCATCGCCAAAGCCTGTGCCCTGGACCCGGGGACAAGGGCCACTGGGGGCTCCCTCAGCACTGGGAATAGTGATGCCAGCGAGGGATGTGACACTGACTTCGGTAAGGTGTTGCGGGTGGTGCTGACCCCCTGGAGAGTCCCCACCTTGGCCTCCTTGGCTTTCAGGGAGCATGCCCCCCCCCCCATGAGAGGACAGGAAGAAGACAACACACAGGGTGCCGGGGTCCCTGCCCTTTGGGAGGCTGTGGGCGGGCAGGAATCTCCAGTTGTATGTTCTTCTCTGCTGAAAGAGAGTGTCCCAGGGTAGGCTGACGCTGGGCTGGCTGACCCAGGGTCTTCTCCCTGCTGTGTTTAGATTCCTCCTTGACTGCATGCTCTGGAGTGGAGAGCACAGCGGCCCCCCAGAAGCTGCTGATCCTGGACGCTCGATCCTACACGGCGGCAGTGGCCAACCGGGCCAAGGGTGGAGGCTGTGAGTGCGAAGGTATGACTGTTACCCGCCCCCCACCCCGTAGCTGCTCTGTGCTCTGGGTGGCTTCGGTGGGGAGGGGCCTGGGGGCAGCTTGTGTAGTGGAAAGAGCCAAACAAACTTGGCTTGGAATTAGGACTCTTCCACTTAGCTAGCGATGGCTCATTTGCTGCATCTGTCCAAATTTTATTGTCTTATCTGTAAAATGGGGATGATAACAAAAATTATTGACCTAGAGCAGCCACTGTATATTGAGAGTTTACTATATGTTGTCATTACTAGTAGTACTATGACAATCACTTGTCATTCATATCCTCGTTACTACTGTTAACATATGGCCCCCAAGCATCCAGAGCGGAGTGGTCCGCCCAGCCTGGGAAACCTGGTCCACAGGGACCACTCTTGTCCTGGATGCCTGTTTCTAGGACACGCTCTTAGGCTCCACCCTCATCTTTATGTCTACAGAATACTACCCCAACTGTGAGGTTGTGTTCATGGGAATGGCCAACATCCATGCCATCCGGAACAGCTTCCAGTACCTCCGGGCTGTGTGTAGCCAGATGCCGGATCCCAGCAAGTAGGTGGTCCCTGCCTGCCCCCATTCCGTCCTCCCTCGTCTTGTCCTTCACCCCGTTCTTCTAGTTCTTAGAAGATGAGCTGGGGAGATGGGAAGTGTGGAGGTATGGGAGACCCGAGGGCCTGGTGCAGCGGGCCAGTTCCAAGAGCACATCTTCTGCTCCTCAGCCAGCACTTTGGAACGGCCACAGTACACCGGGTTCCTTTGGTTTGGATCCGATGTCCTATGTAAAGAACACAGAGAACTGGGGGAAGGATGGCTAAACGTGCACGCGATGCTTCCTGTTCCTCCCTTGGTCCTGAGTCTCTTGTGTGCCTCGGGTCTTGTCTTCTTTACCTTCCTGCCAGATAGCTCCTGGCAGAAAGGCCACAGCCTGGACCCCTTGGCTTCAGCCCTCACTGGGGACTTCATTCGGTGTGGCTGGCCGTGGGTGGCGGAGAGACCGGTGGAGCCTCAGCGCCCTTGGTGATGGACTTGATTTCTGCTCTCGTGTAGCTGGTTGTCGGCCCTGGAGAGCACCAAATGGCTGCAGCACTTGTCGGTGATGCTCAAGGCAGCCGTGCTCGTGGCTAATACCGTGGACCGGGAAGGCCGGCCCGTGTTGGTGCACTGCTCGGATGGCTGGGACCGGACGCCACAGATCGTAGCCCTGGCCAAGATACTACTGGACCCATATTACAGGACGCTGGAGGTACTGAGTGGGGTTGGGTGGGAAAGACCAGAGAGAAAGGGGGGTGGGGAAGGTATTGCGCCCTCTGGATCTGTCTTGGGGATCTTTGAGTAGAGGACATTGGTGGCTTTGAGTCCCCTTCTAGGGTCAGTTCTGCTCTTCTCTGAAGTTGCCAGCTCCGTGCTTCGGGCATCCCCTGGGGAGTAGTAGCACACTAGCCTTTCCAGAAAGGCCCTATGCTTGGACTCTCTTTTCTGTAGGGCTTCCAAGTTTTAGTAGAGTCTGACTGGCTAGATTTTGGGCACAAGTTTGGAGATCGCTGCGGCCACCAGGAGAATGCAGAGGACCAAAATGAGCAATGCCCGGTGTTCCTCCAGTGGCTTGATTCTGTTCATCAGCTGCTCAAGCAGTTTCCCTGCCTGTTTGAGTTTAATGAAGCATTCCTGGTAAGTCCTAAAGCCTGTGACCAGGGGCGGGGGGGCAGGTGGCCGAGGCTCCCAGGTGCCAACTGTCTCGGCCCTCCAGGTCAAGCTGGTGCAGCACACGTACTCCTGCCTCTATGGCACGTTCCTGGCCAACAACCCCTGTGAGCGAGAGAAGCGCAACATCTACAAGCGGACCTGCTCTGTGTGGGCTCTCCTGCGAGCTGGCAATAAGAACTTCCATAACTTCCTCTACACACCTGGCTCCGACATGGTAAGTCCCCACCCTTGTCCTGTATGTGCTACTTGGAGACCTACAGGGAGAATGGGCTGAGTAGTGGGGGGAACGTTGGGCTGAGAGAAGGAAGAGGGACCTGGAACAGCTCACAAAACCCTGGTATGGGGCCGCTTCCCTAGGTCCTGCATCCTGTGTGTCACGTCCGGGCCCTGCACCTCTGGACAGCTGTTTATTTGCCAGCATCATCTCCATGTCCGCTCGGGGAGGAGACCATGGACCTTTACCTTTCCCCGGTGGCTCAGAGCCAGGAGTTTTCGGGCCGCTCTCTGGACAGGTACGAAGAGTCCTCCTTGCTCTCTCCTCTCTGCCGGGAAGGCAGCGATTGCCTTGTGCCTCGCCTCATGTTCTCCAGCTTTCATAAGATATTTAAAAGCAACTTCTTGACTCAGTTGAAGGAGAAACTTGGCTCACGACTTGTAGCTAACCTGGAGTGCACTCTGTGTGTTTTCAAGGTCCTCTCTTAAGATAAGATGGGTTACCTTCTTTCCTGGAGCTGCTGTCACCCCATGTGACATAGTCAAGCAGGGGAGAGGGGAAAAGAACAGAAAGGACTAGTTCAGGAAGGTTTGTGGGAATGGTCTTGATGTATGTTCACTGATAGAAGACCTTGGGGCACTTGCTATCTTAGTAGTGACCTTTGCTATATGCAGCAATAGCTTCTGGAAGCATCTGATTCTCAGGGAAGTGGGTTCCCAGAAGATGGATGGCCTTCCCATTCTCCCTCAGAAAAAGGCCAGCATTTAAAGGCAGACATAGGGCGCCTGGGTGGCTCAGTTGGTTAGGCGACTGCCTTCGGCTCAGGTCATGATCCTGGAGTCCCGGGATCGAGTCCCGCATCGGGCTCCCTGCTCAGCGGGGGTCTGCTTCTCCCTCTGACCCTCCCCCCTCTCATGTGCTCGCTCTCTCTCTCTCATTCTCTCTGTCTCAAATAAATAAATAAAATCTTTAAAAAAAAAAAAAAAAAATAAAGGCAGACATAAAAGTTAAAGTTATCTTCTGGCTAAGTACTTGGGGGAAGTAGAATGGATGTTAGTTACATTATAAGAGTATTGCATGTTCCTAGTTAAAAAAAAGTCAAACAGTGTAAAAGTAGAAAATGAAAGTCCTACCTCTCAGACCCTTGTCTCCCACAGGTGTCCACTGCTAACACTCTGGTGCCTGTCCTTCCAGATGTTTATTTCTATATAGATATAGCCACACGTCACAATCTCATATAGAAACATTTTTGGGGCGCCTGGGTGGCTCAGTCGGTTAAGCTTCCGACTCTTGATTTCTTAAAAAAACATTTTTTAAGATGCAAAAACAGAATATTTTGCATACTCTTTTGCAAGTTGTTTTTCCCATGTTGTATTAGGCTGTCACCCCTCTAAGGCACATATAAAGCTGTTTTATTTATTTTTTAAAAGATTTTATTTATTTACCTGACAGAGAGAGACATAGCGAGAGAGGGAACACAAGCAGGGGGAGTGGGAGAGGGAGAAGCAGGCCTCCCGCCGAGCAGGGAGCCCGATGCGGGGTTCGATCCCAGGACCCTGGGACCGTGACCTGAGCCAAAGGCAGACTCCCAACGACTGAGCCACCCAGGCGCCCCTAAAGCTGTTTTATTGATTAGTGACACATATAAGAGTCCAAAATTAGAGTGTATCATAACTTATATAACCAGTTTCCTATTGGTCATTTAGGTGATTTTTTTTTTTTTTTAATTGTTATTGGGAGTGCTTTAATTAACATTCTTAACTATGTATATGTTTTTTAAAACAATTGTGGGTAAAATACACACATTTACCATCTGTACACCATTTAAGTGTACCATTCAGTAGTATTACCTTATATGTGTTATCTTTGCATTTGTGCTAATATTTTTGCCAGATTATTTCCTAGAAATGAAAATGTTGGGTTCAAAGGATATGTACATTTCAAAATTTTGATCTTTGTTTATTGGTGGAGGATTCTTAAAGTTAAAATATAACTTAAATTATTAGTTGAATATTATAAAGGAAAAAAAAAAATCCTACCACCCTAAATTATCGGTTTTAGGGTCTTGAGTCCATGGTCAGGGGCCCATGGATAGGTTTCAGGAATTCTGTGATTTTCTTCCTTCCCCATACTATTCAGAATTTGGGTATAGGTTCATAAGTTTACTTCTCCAGGGAGAGGGCCCAGAACTTATCAAATTCTCAGTTAAGTTCTATCACCCATTTAATAATCACTGCCTTAAATATCTAATCTTTCTTTTCTTTTCTTTCAAGATTTTATTTATTGGGGTGCTTGGGTGGCTCAGTTGGTTAAACTTCTCTGCCTTGGGCTCAGGTCACGATCCCCGGGTCCTGGGATCAAGCCCCGTGTTGGACTCCCTGCTCAGCAGGGAGCCTGCTTCTCCCTTTCCCTCTACCTCTCCCCCTGCTTGTGCTCTCTCTCTGTCAAATAAATAAATAAAATCTTTTAAAAAAATTAAAAAAGGTTTTATTTATTTGAGAGGGAGAGCAAGCATGAGTGAAGGGAAGGGCAGAAGGAGAGGGAGAAGCAGACTCCCCACTGAGCAGGGAGTCTGATGCAGGGCTTAATCCCAGGACCCCAAGATCAAGACCCGAGCTGAAGTCGGATGCTTAACTGACTGAGCCACCCAAGTGCCCCTAATATCTGATTTTTCAATTCAGTTAATGTTTCTTTAATACCTACTAGCTGCCTAGTACTGTACAGGTTTGTGGGCTATACCAAAGAGAAGATATTGATCCCATTTAAGATACTTTTTAAAAGCTATAATAAGACAGACATGGACAGCTAGAGATCAGTTCTAAGTTAGCATCTAAGCAAATAAGAATGTGTGTAGTTCAAAGCTATTGGGAGAAATGAGAAGTTAAAAAGGGATCATTTGGTGACTGTTTACTTAGAGAAGTTTTCATGAAAGACCAGGCAGGAGCCTTGGCTTTTTTGTGTCTCTAGCATCTGGCTCGGCCTGGCACATAATATGTGCTTTAGTAAATGCTTAAATGAACAAACAAGAGGCTCCCCCTCTGCCCTTCTCCCCCACTTGTGCTCTCTCTCTCTCAAAAATAAATACAATCTTTAAAAAAACAAAACAAAACAAAAAAACCCTACATATTAAAAAATATAAAATAAACATTATCCTGAGTTTATTTAGATTCAGTTGTCAATAGTAAGTCATTGTAGGAAGTCATTGTGACCTGGTGACAACAGGATTTTTGGAGAATGAGTCAGTGAGGTGGGTAGTTGGAAGCACAGAGATCAGTCAACACTATTGTAATTCAGATATGAAGAGGGGAGTTTGGAAAAGAGAAAGGATTAAAATCAGAAACTTTGTAGAGAAGTCATTAGCAGACTATGGAGTGACTGTGGGAAGGTAGAAGTGAAGAGTAGAGAGGACCTGTCAAAGACAGGTCCCAAGTCTTTGAGCTTAAAAACTAGGTGGATATTGGTACCAACCCAAAGACATTGGGAAGTTGAGAAGAATCAGTCTGGGCCGGAGGAGGAGATACAGGCAGGTTGGGATTGAAATATTAGCAAAGAGAAGGTATACTATAGGCAATTCAAGATGGAGAGTTGGATTTGGAGGACCAAGTAGTATGCAAATAAAAATGCTTTTTTAAATACCTGACCTGACTTACCTTTGGTTCTACCTTTCCCTAGATCAAAAATGCCCTGAGCTCTTTTCTCTTTTTCCATTGAATTCAACACATTCTGCTACACCCAGCTCAAATCCTACCCTTTCTGTGTAGTCTTCCCTGACCACCCTAGCAGGATGAATTGTCTTTGTTCTAGACTCCTCAGTCATTATTGTCTCTACCAGCATTATTATTACTATTATAAAAGATTTTACTTATTTATTTGAAAGAGAGAGAGAGGGCGCCTGGGTGGCTCAGTCATTAAGCGGCTGCCTTCGGCTCAGGTCATGATCCCAGAGTCCTGGGATCGAGTCCCACATCGGGCTCCCTGCTCAGCGGGAAGCCTGCTTCTCCCTCTCCCACTCCCCCTGCTTGTGTTCCTGCTCTCGCTGTCTCTGTCAAATAAATAAATAAAATCTTATAAAAAAAAAAAAGAGAGAGAGAGAGAGCGCACAGGTGAGCAGGGGGAGGGGCAGAGGGAGAGGGAGAGAATCTCAAGCTGACTCCTCGCTGAGGGCAGAGCCCAACCCAGGGCTTGATCCCAGGACGCTGACATGACCTGAGCTGAAACCAAGAGTCGGAAGCTTAACTGAGTCACCCAGGTGCCCCTTAACCAGCATTATTGATTAAATCTTTTGTGCAGGTAGGAATCAGCTGTGGAAGATAGGAGACTGTTGATACTGTTGAATTTGGGTCAAGAGTACATGGGAGATCTTCATACTCGTCCACTTTTGTATTTGAAAGTTTCCGTAATAAAAAAGTAAAACAAAAAAAGGAAAAAAAAGACAAAAGTTAGCTGTGGTACTTTTTAAAAATATAGGTGCCTGGTTCTCACTCTTGGCCATTCTCATTCATAGGTCTTAGATGGGCCTGGTTGTCTGTATATCTAGAAGATCTGTAGGAACTCCTAATGTACACCAAATATTGAACCCCACTGGTCTGTTGCATTCAGTTGGTACCTAGCAGTGGACACTTGATCTTAGATTTTAAGCTCATTTATTTATTTCTCAAATTGTTTGATTGGCTGGTGCTGGGGATTCAAATAAGACACAGTGCTGCCCTCAGAGCACTTTCAAAGCAGGAGATAAATAAGTAAACAGTAAGTGCAACAATATGGGAAGTACTGAGCAACGTGCTTTGAAATGGATTTTGTTTAATCTTCATGACGGCTTTAAGAGGTACTATTACATTTCTCTGATAGATGAGGGAACTGAGGCTTAGAGAAGTTAAGTCGCATAGTTAAAAAATCACCAAGCTGGGATTCGAGCCCAGGCTATGGGACCCTAGAGACTGTGATCACAACCACTGTTATTGCCTTCCTGGAATTTTATACCACAAAACAGAACAAAATAAAAATCAAAATTGATCACAAAAGTAAAATCACACATAAAAATCTTTAAAAAACACAGTACATTTCAAAAACCAAACACTTAAAAAAAAATCAGCCGTATTTTAATTCAACCTTTGAGGAATTTTTCTGCATGAGCTGGACTGACTGAGGCATCTGAAAATAGGAGTCTGGTGAAGTCTCCACTGTTTCCTGGCAAGTTTCCCTGAAGTTTTCATTGCTCTAAGGACTTTTGAAATGTGTTAAAAATCAGACATTCTTGAAAATGTCTGTTACCCATTTGGTGTGCACGAATGCCTCTAGAACTCCTGAGTGCTTTATACTTGGGGAAGTTTCCATGGTGACTTAGGACTCCAAGGCACGCGCTGCTGCTATGTGGTTGTAAAAGACTGAGTTGGTTTCTACTGTGATGAAGGGATCATTTATAATAAGGAAAGTAGTAAAAATGACAAGTTGTGAGTGTAGTCTTAGTAAGTTTCTTGTTGTCTGGGGCGCCTGGGTGGCTCAGTTGTTAAGCATCTGCCTTTGGCTCAGGTCATGACCCCAGGGTCGTGGCATCGAGCCCCACATCGGGCTCCCTGTTCTGTGGGAAGCCTACTTCTCCCTCTCCTACTCCCCCTGCTTGTGTTCCCTCTCTCGCTGTGTCTCTCTCTGTCAAATAAATAAATAAATCTTTAAAAAAGAAAAAAAGTTTGTTGTCTGCCTATAGTTTGAATCCTCATAGCATCTCTATAAGGTATAATTTACGATGATCATTTTATAGAGGAAGAAAGCACATGTCTGAAAGGCTAAATAACTTACTTGTAGTCATATGGCTAATCAGTATCAGAACCAATATCATCTAGCTCCAAAATTGTTTTCCTTCTGTTTTACCGTGTATGATAGAAGCAGTTGGACATTAGGTTTGAGACTCAGGTATAGTCCTGGCTGGCTGGCTGGCATAGTAGGTTTAGAAGGCATCAGCATAGAAGGCATTGAAATCATGGGAGTGGCTGAGATTGCCCAGGGAGACTGTAGGGTGAGGACCGATAAAAGCTGGGGACAGATCCTGGATTCTGGAGGACAGAGTTCATGTCCTTCACTTTTTGCACACTAGACTTGTTGTAGTGAACATCGGTTATTTGTAATCTTAAATGTTATTTCTTATGAACTCTGGCTTTGATGGTCTGATTCTATATATTGGAGGTGGCTCCCATTTACTGACCAGGAGGTGTTGTGTTTGTCATTCCAGATTACCTAAAACCAGATCTATGGATGATCTGCTTTCTGCCTGCGATACAAGCAGCCCCCTGACTCGCACATCCAGTGACCCGAACCTCAATAACCACTGTCAGGAGGCCAGAGTAGGCCTGGAGCCCTGGCATAGCAATCCTGAGGAATCCGAGACCTTCGTGGAATCTGGGGCAGGAGGTCCTCAGCAGACTGCAGGAGAAATGGGTCTTCCTTCCCCTCTGCCCAGCAGCCAGAAAGACTACTTGAGCAATAAACCCTTCAAGAGTCACAGAAGCTGTTCTCCAAGTTACAAACTGCTTAGTACTGCAGTGCCTCAGGAGATGAAGAGCAACATCTCTGATCCTGAGATCAAAGTCCTGGAAGAGACTAAGGCACCAGCTCCAGACCCTCCTGCCCACAGTGAGCTGAGCAGGACTTTAGATGGCACGGAGCAGCCACCTGAACCTTGTCCTGAAAAAGCAGCTGTCCATGCACTCTCTGAAGTTGGTTCCAACAAGTGTCATGGAGTTTGTGATTTTCCTGAGTCTTCCCAGGACTCCTTGACAGGTGCCCCCCAACGGGCCCTGCTGGATTCCATGCTAGGTGTGCCCTCCAGATGTGCTCCAGATCACAGTCTGGGCACCCTTTGCAACCCACCGAGTGCTACCTGCCAGACTCCTCCAGAGCCAAGCACTGACTTCCTCAGCCAAGATCCCCCGGGGTCTGTGGCAAGCATCTCCCACCAGGAACAGCCCAGTTCTGTGCCAGATCTGATTCATAAGGAGGAATACGCTGGCAAAAGAGGGAATAATAGGAATGGGCCGTTACTGGAAAATCCTCGCTTTGGGAAAGTGCCACTGGAATTGGCCCGAAAGCCAATTTCTCAGAGCCAGATCAGTGAATTCTCTTTTTTAGGATCCAACTGGGACAGCTTCCAAGGAATGGTGACTTCATTCCCAAGTGGGGAGACCACCCCTCGGCGGCTGCTTTCCTATGGCTGTTGTAGCAAGAGGTCAAGCAACAAGCAGGTGCGGGCAACAGGGCCCTGCTTTGGGGGCCAGTGGGCTCAGAGAGAAGGGGTGAAGTCACCAGTCTGTTCTAGTCATTCCAATGGACACTGTACTGGTCCAGGAGGAAAAAATAACCGGATGTGGTTGTCCGGTCATCCAAAGCAGGTCTCCAGCACAAAGCCTGTTCCACTGAGCTGCCCTTCTCCAGTGCCTCCGCTCTACCTGGATGATGATGGACTCCCCTTTCCCACGGATGTGATCCAACATAGATTACGGCAAATTGAAGCAGGGTACAAGCAAGAGGTGGAGCAGCTACGTCGACAAGTGCGTGAGCTTCAGATGAGGCTGGACATCCGTCACTGCTGTGCCCCTCCAGCAGAGCCCCCCATGGACTATGAGGATGATTTTGTAAGTATTCACCGCTGCTATCCATCCAGTCGTTTATTCTATCCATCCAGCCTTCTATCCGGTCAACATTTATTCATTGGGTACTTGCTGTGTGCCACCGTGTTAGGTGGTTGGGCTGTAGGATGAAGGACATAGTCTCCACTCTCCAAGGGGCTCACGGTGTATTGGGAGAGATAAGCAGACAACCAGAATGATGGTCTTAAGTGTTACCGTGGAAGGAAGCATCAGGTGTTGGGGTCCGGGGTGGAGTGAAGGCTTTCCTGAGAAGATAATGTTTGAGCTGAGTGCTGAAGAATTTGTCATATTCTAGGTAGACAGTGAAAAGGAAATACCATTCTCAAAAGCATGAAGGCAATAAGTACTCCAATGGGATGGCTTGAACAAAGGGGTAGGGTGTGTGTTTGTGTGTGTCCACGTGCATGTACAGGTGTGCTGGGGCCATGCGGGAGGGAGTTGGGTAGTGACGTGGGAGCTAATATTAGAGAAGTAGACAGGGTTTGGAAAGGTCAGCTGGAGATCCCTTCTTGCTTGGATTCTACCCTCAAGGCAGCACCATTTTTGGCCACTATCATAATCAGATTTGTATTTTAAGAATATTATTCTAGCAGTAGTGTGTCAAGTGGACGAGGCAGTTGAAACCCACGTTGGGAGGCTGGTTAATATGTTTTGGAATAGCCCAAGTGAGAGATGGTGAGGACTGTCTAGGCTTCGCTGTGTTGGGAGTCCTCCAGTTTGGGGACACAGTTCTTGGGGAGCTTCTAGGAGTCAGCTTCTTGGCCACAGTATCCTGTCATGAACACAGGCACTTCCCTTCCTCCTGTTAAGACATCCCCACTTGCCTGTTGTCTGCTTGCTGGGATGGGATGGTCAGCTGTTACAATACAAAAACAGCCATAGACAATACATAAATAAATGAGTGTGGCTGTCTTCCAATAAAACTTGATTTACAAAAACAGGCAGTGGGCTAGATTTGGCCTCTGGGCCATAGTTTGTGAGTCCCTGGTTTAGAATATAATGAGAAATATTTCCACGCTGTGATAAAGCATATTGGTTAAGAGCATGGGTCTGAAGCCAAAGTATAGGTGACCCTTGAACAATGCAGGGTGAAGGGTGCCGGCCCCTCGTGCAGTCAAAAATCCACTTACAACTTTTGAGCCCTCAAAACTTAACTACTAATAGCTACTGTTGACCAGAAGCATTACTGATAATATAAACAGTCAACTAACATACATTTTGTATGTTAGATGTACTGTATGCTGTGTTCTTACAGTAAGTAAGCTGGAGAAAAGAAAATGTTACTAAGGAGATCGTAAGAAAGAAAAAATACATAGTCCTATACTGTATTTCTTGAAAAATACCTGCATACAAGTGGACCCATGCAATTCAAACCTGCGTGGTTCAAGGGTCAACTGTAGTAGGTTTAAATTCCAGGCTTACTACTTACTATCTCTTGACTTTCTCAATGCTTAGTTTCCTTATTTGTAAAATAGGGATGATAATAATAATAGTATACATCATAAGCTTCTTGGGAGGAATTAAAGAAGTACATGCATGTAATGTAATTAGAATAGTACCTGATGCATAGTAAACAATAAAGGTTAGTGATGGTGAAGATGGTGTTGATATCTTTGCCTTTTCTTCAGACATGTTTGAAGGAGTCAGATGGCAGTGATACAGAAGATTTTGGCTCTGATCACAGTGAGGACTGCCTTTCAGAAGCAAGCTGGGAACCTGTTGATAAGAAAGAGACTGAGGTATGTGCAGGCAAATGCATACTTACGTGAGGCACTGAGTTCTCATATTTCTCAGAGATGAGTGACATGCTATACACGGAGCTCTCTCCTAGATGACTGTCTTCTTAGGCAAGTAGTGGCCAACTATAAAGACAGACCTTGTTGTTTTCTCCTGAGATGCTTTCCTTGTTGCAGTGTTGCTCTTCCACTTGGTTGACAAGGACCTGGAATTTTTCTTTGTGCCTTCTGTTAGGTGACTCGCTGGGTTCCAGACCATATGGCATCACATTGCTATAACTGTGACTGTGAATTCTGGTTGGCCAAACGAAGACACCATTGCAGGTAAGATATTCTGTAGGATTCTTTATGGCTCATAACACAGCGACGTACATGTATATGAGCTAAGTTGAGTTAATCTGAAAATGGAGATGTCTTTATAGGGACGATTTTTTGTTTTCGCCCAACTTTTCTCTTTATTTACTCACGTAAGGCCTTTTCGAGTATTATTCGTTCTCAGTATATGGGCATTTCTGATGAACTCTTCCCTCTTTGTGCTTTGGCAGAAATTGTGGGAATGTGTTTTGTGCTGGCTGCTGCCACCTGAAGTTGCCCATTCCTGATCAACAACTCTATGACCCAGTTCTCGTCTGTAACTCATGTTACGAACACATCCAAGTATCTCGTGCCAGGGAACTCATGAGCCAACATCTGAAGAAACCCATTGCTACAGCTTCCAGCTGAATGCCAGAGGAGATGACCTGTCCAATTTTAGCAGGTTTGAAGGGAGGATCTGCTTCAGGTGTAGCTTTGAAGGTTCCTTGGTGTGGGTCATGAAATCACAGAGCTCAAAGATACCATCTTGAGAAATCCTCCTTGGTACCATGAGACTGGAGCAGAGGAATTCCAATTTGGCAGGAGGTCTTCTACTGGTGAGACCCTCACCTTGGGGTAATGGTCCTGGATCCAGACCCAGAGTCTGGAAGCTTAATGTTGAGTTGGTGACTCCCGCTTTTCTCCTGGGGGTCACAAGATGATGATTTCATAGATACTGCCTGATGATGTGCCCCAAACAGCAATAGAGAGACATATGTATAACCAAACTCCAAGTGATAAACAGATCCATCTCTCCTCCACCTGGAAAAAAGCAGATTCTAGTATATAAGATAGGAATTCTATCCTATTTGAAATGAACTATAACCTGTTCCTCTGTGCTCTGTGTCTGTGCATGAAGGCTCAGTTTTAGAGGCACTCCCTCTAGTTGCAGTAGTTCTGTCTTTCTGTGGAGTTTGGTTTAAAGACTGGTTCAGCAAGTGGAGGTTTTGCTGTATTTTTTCACTTGGCTCATCAGCCAGCATCAGTGAATACTCAGTTTAGAGGGACAGTTCTAAGGAGTGAGACATTTTTGGGAGCAGAGGAAAACTCTGCTGATGTTCGGTTCTGGCAAAAGTCAGTTATTTTGAGCTGTGAAGGCAGTAGTCTCTGTTACTCAGTGGCAGCTCTTAAGGTATGCACTGTGAAGAATGAGAAGGGAAAAGCAGAAATGATCCTTGTCAAATATTTGCTGATTGTGCCCGCCCTTTGCGCCTGACTTTTCCTAGTTGTCCTGGTGCTAACACAGGAGTTACACCTTGATCCTCTCCTGGCATGAAAATAAAACAATGGTTTTCTTTTTGTTGTTGTTCCATTGCCCACTTCCCTCATGTTGTCTTTCCCTTGGCTGCTGCCTCCTCTGGGTCACACTGCTTCTTATCCTGAACACTTGACACCTTGAGGGTAGAATTTAGCATTTGGTTTTTACCTCCTAGAATATGCTGTTTGGTATGTGAGGGTTTCAGTACAAATGCTGCTGTCTATTTCTGTGCACTTAACAATGGAACCCAAACAGAAGAGAATAAAGCCTTGATACCAAAATTGGGAGAGAAAATGTGTCCATTTGGACCAAACATTGGTTTTTTTCGTTGTTGTTTTGTTTTGTTTCATCTTAATATGTACCAGTGGCACTTAACCAAAAGATACAGTGACATAGCCATGTACTTTGGTTGGGACAGATATAGTCTCCTTGACCTGTAATGAAACCACTAGTATTTCCTTTATACATTTTCCTTAATCCATTGGTGTATAAAAGGTAAATTACACTTAGGCTTACTTACCCTGTTTTAAAACTATGGTAGCTGTCTGTCTAACTGCTACTTTCATGTTGCTTCCTAGAAAAAAAAAAAATTCATTTGAAAATAACTAGGATCTGCATTTAGAACAAGAATTGTTACTTGTCCTGACCTTTTCTTCAGTCCTACAGAGAAGCATCTGTGCTTTTATACTTGTCATGGATGTAACCTAAAAAGTTTTGGCGTATTTAGGTCAGCCTAGCAGAACTTTTTTTTTTGTTTAAATGGAGTTGAATAATGGAGATTTGTGTCTGGGAAATTCCTGAGATCACTGAAAAAGTAACAAACTATTCCTTGTCTCTGATATGTAAAATTCTCCTAAGCATTTTCTCAATCATTAAAATTTACTGCCAGTTGCGAGTGGCTTTTTAATTAAATTGACTTTCATTGCACTTCACTCTGCCCATTTTCAGGGGGAGTAAGACTGGTAACATTTGAGGAGACTCTATCTGTCTACTTTTGTGTGGCTGTTTTGAGGGACTGTCCCATCAGTGAACATACTGCATGGCCTTGGAGAGAGACTCTGGGCTCTCAGCTCAGATGTATTCATCAAATACTCCTTTCAGAGCTCTTGTGGGTGTAAGTGACATGATGTGGCCAAAAATCCAAACTGTGCAGTTGCGTTGTGACAAACATGCAATGTGCTGTAAAAACTCAATACAATTTAAATAAAATCTCTATATTAGTGCTGCTTTGTTGGGCCTTTTTATTCATTTTAATTTCTAAGAAGCTTGATAGTCATTTTTTCTTTGACCACAAGAAAGGACTGAAACATACTCCTTCCTCCCAACCATTTCCATTTCTAAATGGACCTTTCTTTTTATCAGCACAGCACCTGCTATATTCTTATTTATGGATCGGATAGGGATTTATCCTTATGGATACTGTGGCATTCTCTCCTATCTCATGTGAGCTTTATTTCTGTGTAATGTCTAAAATTGCACCGGCTGGTTGACCAGGCACACAGGACTGTATTTATATTCTTCCGATTCCCTCCTCATAGGCACCTCAGTTCTCAGTAAACCTGTCCTGAGCAAAATATTGCCGTAAAAAGGTCTATTAAAAAAACATATAAAATGGTACTATGTAAAAGGTGAATCGTTTACTCAGGATACCATACCCCCCATCGCCATTTTTATTTTGGAGAGACAAGCAGTTAAACTGTTAGTTCATATTTACGGTAAAATCTACAGATTATAGAGTTTATACTACAGTGTAATCTACAGATTGTAGAGTTAGGCCCTCTGTTCTCCAGAATGGCCGACTTTGAGTTGCCAAGTGTACACTCTTAAGAATTCGAAATCCCTACACGCCGGTTGTGGTGATAAACACGAATCTCCGTATTCGACACCGGATAATCGGGCTTATTTCTTTGCAGATTTACCCTTACCTGGTGGGCAGCAACTCCGCCGCAGTCCGGCGGTTCGCGTACGCCGCCGAGAGAACGCGACTCCCCGCGGCTGCGGCCGCGCCCCACGCTGTTGCACGCGGCCGGGCTCCACGCGGCGTCGTCGGGCGGACCCGGCGGCGCGGCGTCCAGGGGGCGGGTCGGCTCACGCCGCGTTCGGCGGCGCAGCGGGAACTCGAGGCCCCATTGGCCGCGCTGGAAGGCGCGGCGGGGGCTCGTGCGCCAACGGTCCCAGGGTCCGCGGCGGCCGGGCGCAGGCAGCAGGGGGGGCAGGGCGCAGCGAAGGCCGGGCGAGGGTGGGGGGGATCGAGAACGGGGTGGGAGAGCCAGGCTCGGCGGGGCGAGTCCCAGTGCCCGGGCGGGGGCGATGGAGGAGGCGCTGCTCTCCACGCCCATCAACCCCAACAACTTCCCCGCCAAGCTGTGGCGGTTGGTGAACAGTCCCCGGTACCGCTCGATCCGCTGGGACGGCCGTGGCGAGGGGCTGCTCATCGACCAGCCGCTCTTCGAGGCCGAGCTGCTCAGCCCGCCCGGGCCAGGGGCCGGGGGCGGCGGCGGCGGGGGCGGCGTGGGGGGCGCCGGGGCCGAGCCCGAACTCTTCAAAACCACCAACTTCACCAGCTTCATCCGCCAGCTCAACCTCTACGGCTTCCGCAAGGTGGTGCTGGGCGGGCCGGGCGCAGCGGGGCCCGGGCCGGGGCCAGGGGGCGGCGGGCCGGCGGGCGACGGGCCGCTCCACCACTTCCACAGCCCGCACTTCCGCCGCGACCAGCCGCAGCTGCTCGTGCACCTCAAGAGGCTCACCAGCGCCAACAAGGCCAAGCTGGCGGCCGGCCTGGAGGTGCCCTGCCGGCCGCCCAACCGCTTCCAGAGGCTCCTCATCACGTCGGCCTCGGCCTCGGCCTCGGCCTCGGCCTCCCCCTCCCCGCTGCAGCACCAGGAGCCGCCGCCGCCCGCGGGGCCCCGGCCCGAGCCGCACGGTGAGTCCTCGCCCGCGGCAGGGCACATGGGGCACCGGGGAGCAACCGCCACTGACGAGGGCATTTCGCACATCCTCCCCCGTGAGGTGATCCGCTTGCTGCTGTGCTTCCCGAGAAATAAGCCACGTCGCCTCCACCGTTTCCAGCACCCCTTTCCGCCAATACCTCCCCTGGAAAGAGGCCATGAGCGCGAGTCCCTTCTGGTTAGTTGTCCACTGGCGGCCAAAGGGAGCTCTGCCGTAGGCTCTCGCTCTTGCCGGCCCCTCTTGAAACCCAAACCTCCATGGCCATTTACCTTCTTCTTGAGACCCTTACCTTTCCTTGAACGTCTAGAATAAGTAGCACTAGGTCGGGAAGAAACACCAAAGGGTCTCTGCTCTAATGCGAAGCAAAACAGAGTTACTGTAGAGGGTGCGAATATGATGGGCAAGGTAGGAAGGAACAGAGTCACGGCCACGAAAACAGAACGTTTATACCGACCGGGGGAAAGTGAACAAGGTACCTTGAGTGGAAGTGTGTCCTTGAAGGGACAGGCCGTCTTCCACCCCTCAGACACATCTGAGAAATCTTAGAAGAGGTGTCCTGACAGTAATCACATTGTAGGTTTAAGGAATGTATAGAAAGGTCGACATTGTTTATGTATCTTAAGAGCAAAAACATAGGAATATATTTAATTGTTTATAAGATACTGTTCCTGCGTCCAATGAATTGGCTAAACATTTCTTTCATTGTAACTAATTAGAGCTGATGTTTACTTAAGGTATTATGGTTAGGCAAACATAAGGCAGAAATGGTGTCCTTACTGTCAGGTTGTAGTTTAAAAGAATTTTAGAAAGTTCACATTTACAGTCTTTGAATCTTTCACTCTACACCTTTCAGTATTGAAAGAACTTTCTATAACTATGTATTTACTAAAAGCTCAAAAATTCTCTGTGGTAGAAAATTATTTTATCAACTTGATTTCTGGTGCTCTTCCCCCTCCTCTGGGAAGGTGAGGGTGGCAATAATCCTTCTCTCTGTGTACAGAGTCCATGATATGAGGCAGTATTCCAAGACAGCAACTGGATATAATAATGAGAATTTATTCTTTGCCTTCAGTAGAAACATTTTCACATGTTAATTTGGATTTAACATAATGTGTAAGGATTATTTTTCAGGTATGGGAAACTTTAAAAATATACAAACAAAAGTAGCACTTTGTTCAGGTTAACCTCAGCCCAGGGTTATGAATGAGACAGCATTTTGTTCATTTGGAATTTAGAAGATAAGGGATTATAAGCTTGTGTGTCTGTGGAGTTTAGAAGATAAGGGATTAGGTTAGAGTTCTAGTAACAAGATGGAAAAATAGCAGTGGCCTAGGAATGTTCTAAAGGAATTCTAAAGGAATATTAAGCTGCTTCCATGTGATGGCCATTGATTTTGGTGGGGTATTGAATGGGGAAAGGCAATGGAGATAATGCCATGGCATACATTTGGCAGAATCTCTGACATGGATGTTTGTTTTTCAGGCTGTGTATCTGGTGGGCATAAGGAGAAAAGACTGGGAAGTGTGTTCTTGGGAGATATAAGCACTTCAAACAGAGAAACCTATACGTGCATACATAAAAAGAAGATCTTGCTCACTCTTTTCACTTCTCTTTCTTTTTCCCTCGCCTATGTTAAACCCAGTTGTATTCTAAGGATAGAGTCCCATTTTATTTTCTTTGATTTTTATTTATTTATTTTAAAATATTTTTATTTATATGAGAGTGAGCACAAGTGGGGGGAGGGGCATGAGAGAGCACAAGGTGGAGGAAGGGCAAAGGAAGAGGGAGAGGCAGACTCCCTACTGAGCAGTGAGCCCAGCACCAGGCTCTCCATCCCAGGACCGCATGATCATGACCTGAGCTGAAGGCAGACACATAACCAACTGAGCCACCCAGGCACCCCGGGTAGAGTCCATTTTTTTTTTTTTTTTTAAGATTTTATTTATTTATTTGACAGAGAGAGTGAGAGAGCACAAGCAGTGGGAGCAGCAGAAGGAGAGGGAGAAGCGGGCTTCCCACGGAGCAGGGAGCCCGATGCAGAGCTCGATCCCGGGACCCTGGGATCATGACCTGAGCCGAAGGCAGATGCCTAACGACTGAGCCACCCAGGCGCCCCAATAGAGTCCATTTTAATTAAAGAAATACAGGGGCTGCCTGTGGTCTGATGTGTCTTCACTTATAGTTCAGTTGGGCGGCATTTTAAAGATTATTTATTGAATAACAAATTTAATTCATACTTTTGCTTTATCAATAATACATCAATCCACGTATAACTAGATCATTGCAGTTTTCATGCATTTACTATTTTTTACTGTCCTGCCTGTTGGTATGTGCAGAAGGTATGTCATTTGTGGATTGTCTATACCATAGGCTTGGTTCACTAAGGAATTGTGTTACTGGTGTGGGTGGGATGTAATTCTAAGTTCAAGAATACTGGGCCAGCTTTGTTTGCTTTAATTCTGTGTTCTAAGCCCTTGGCTACTCTTTTTTTTTTTTTACATAATTTTTATTCATCTTGAATCTTTCATTAGTTTATGCCTGACTATACTGTTGCTTCTTAGTTTCCACTTTGTTTACTGTGTTCTACTTCAGCTTATGGTTTGAATACTTCTTTTTTTTTTTTTTTTTTTGCAATAGAGTCCTTTAAGTACCTATTTCTCTTATCAAGATCCATTAAACTAACTGTCTTGTTCACCTTTCAGGAATGTACTTGATAAGAAATGTGAAGATCACATGTTTTTCCTTTTTTTTTTTTTTTTTGGTCCACTTTTGTTATTTTGCACTTAAGTGGCAATTTATTTTACAATATTTGTTAGCAGTATTTGTTAAAACTTTCTAAACTAAGTAACAAATGTGAGCAATAGTAGATAATCCGTTTTGGCCTGGGGATACCAAGCTCACAGGAGGCAAGTTTTTCCTGGGAATTGATTAACTCAGATTCATTTATATAGAAGGAATAGGATCTTTAAGAACAGAAATCCATCCTGCCTTGCATTTCCAGAGTTCTGGATTTAAACTTTGCCAAATATATCTTGAAGATGTTCTGAAAACCTATAGATGATAATCTGTGAAGTTGGTCAGAATAGAACCCTATGAGATAACCCTAAACAGTAAATAAGAGCTGAACATGTTTTAGTTCTTTATTTTAAAAAACAAATGAAAAGGAATGCCCTTCTAATCCTATCAGCGTTCTTATGTTAGCAGCATCTAAAAATCTATAAGTATTTGGCTATCACTCAGAGTTTATCGCGATAGATAAACTAGAGAATAAAG